TGAGTGAGTCAGTGAGTGAGTCAGTGAGTGAGTCAGTGAGTGAGTCAGTGAGTGAGTCAGTGAGTGAGTCAGTGAGTGAGTCAGTGAGTGAGTCATTGAGTGAGTCAGTGAGTCATTGAGTGAGTCATTGAGTGAGTCATTGAGTGAGTCAGTGAGTCATTGAGTGAGTCAGTGAGTGGTAGGTATAGATTTACAACAAAAATAATGCTGATCAGGCTGCAAGTATGAAGTCCAGCGCTAGAATGTAGCCTTAAAATAAGAAAAGCACCTGACACAAGTGGAGGAACCGTACGAAACATCTAGCTCAAACTGTTACTGTACATAAAAATATCAACATAATCACGTCTCCAGTGGCAACAAGCTCAAAAACAAATGTAATGTAGGGCAATAACTTTGGGGAGGGGGGGGGGGATTTTGTCAAAAGGGTGCCAGGCTAAGCAAAATGTTTTTAATAAAACTGACCATAAAATCATCTATGGCAGCGCAAAAATGTCACAATAAAACATTTTTTATCCATAAAAGTAAGATTTTTAGAAATCTGTTTGTGATCAGCTAACATTTCTTGACTGTCGGGATATAAACCAGACCATGATTATGAATATAGTACAACTGGTACAAGAGTAATAAGCATTTTATTTCTGGTATGTCCTATTTTAAAAAATTATTTTTACATTGGGATCCGCTTGAGAGGTGGACTAGAACTCTTGTAGGCATATGTTACTCCCATGAAGGATTGCATCCTCGGTACCTACAGTACTGTAGAAAAATGGGTGCTTAATATGTGATTTAAGAATTTTACCATCAACTTGGTACGGTATTGCTTGCGTGCATCAAATACATAGATGTTTAAGAAATGTTTTCTCCCCCCACTTACAATTCAGTTGTCTCTCCAGGTGCTACTTTTTGACCTTAATTCTTATATTCTTATATTTATACATATGCCTCTTATGTAAATATGTCTGAGTCTTTAAGGGTAGATAGTTCTGTGCAGGCTGTCCTCTTCTAAAAGGAAATAATTCACGTGCTAATACTGCCACTTAGTGGTGAAAAGCTGCAACTCTTTTTGTCATGTTTGAAAAGCGCTTTTTCCTTCAGCAAACTCTTCAGTGACATTACGCAATCATGCATTTATCTGTATGCAGGTGTGTCTCCATTCGTCCCTGGTATTAATTTCTCATTATTTTATCTTGACTACCAGCATGCTACGATACCGCATTTATTGTTAGCTTACGTAAACATGCCCAGCATGGATGATTTTTAGTTGTGACGTTCAGTCCTTGCTTTCTCTGTTTATGTTGTGATGTATGAGGAGGGCCTTACATGCGCCTTTAAGCTGTGTGAGGTTTACAGGCAGACTCATACCTGCAGAATGACTAAAAAGGAAAAACGCATCATTAGCTAAAAAACCGCCTTCTGTCTCTCTGTGGTCCAGTACCCAGCATGAGCCAGGTGCCCCTTCAGTTTGCCTCACAGCTGGACCATCTGAACCCCCTGGGCACCCACAAGCCCCTGGGTCGGACCCGCTCAGAGCCTCTGCCCCAGAGCCCGCGGGCCCTGCACGCCCACCTACTCCAGCAGCACCCCAACAGCCAGTTACTGGAGAGGCTGAAACTGCAGGCACACCTGGGAAAGGTAGCTGAGTGCAATGGGCCCCGGGCCCCGGGCCCCGGTTCACCAATTTTTAGGTGACCGGGCTCCGTTAATGCCCCCTTTGACCCGCTTCCCAGCAGATACCCAAACCCAGCGAGAAGCCGCGTCTCAAGCAGATCCCGTCAGAGGACATGGACTCGGAGGAGGTGGGGCCAGCTGGGGCCAGGGAGGTGCAGCAGGCCAAGGCGCAGGTGGAGTCTCTGCGGGAGGCGGACACCCTCGGGGGGATGGAGGTGGCGTCTGCGGCGGAGGGCAAGGAGGAACAGATCAACCTGCAGCACACGGTCATGCTGAATCAGGTAGCGCCTGCTTCTCAGTCAGGCCGCATCTGCCTGATGAACACCTTCACTAAACCAGTGTTTCCCGACCCGGTCCTTGCGGACCCCCAGACAGTCCACGTTTTTGCTCCCTCCCAAGTCCAAAACATCTGGACTGGGTTGAGAAACGCTGCACTGAGTCACAGCGGGATTTTGGAAATGTCGAACTGACTCGGCAAAGATTTGTGTCGTCGATTGATTTTCATTTCCAACAGGGGGAGCCCTAGCCCTGCTTGCACCAAAGTCAGCTGGACGAAACGCTGTTATACGCATCACCTCCTGGTGCAAACCCCCCCCATTCTTAAGTTTCTCTCCTCTGCGCAGTCGCTGCTTTGGGAGAAGCAGAAGCAGCTGCAGCAGATGCGGCGGCAGACGGCTCACATGGAGACGCTGGCGGTGCCCGTGATGCCCAGCGTCATCCACCGGCCCCTGTCCCGCACGCAGTCCTCCCCCGCCTCCACCTCGCTGACCGCACCCCTCCCAGCGGCCACCCCCGACACATCCAGCAAGCCACGCTTCACCACAGGTGAGCAGTGGATGCAGTGTGGACTTCCTGGCCGTCTACACTGGCTGC